TGAGTCTGCCATGCTGGAAAGGCCATGTGTGGATGCTCCAGTGGACAGCCTGCTGAGGTCCTAGCCAAAAGCCAGCATCGACTGTGGAGCATATGAGCGTGCCATGCTGGACATCTAGCCAGTCCTTATTTCAGATACCTGCAGCCCAGCCAGCACCTGACTGCCAGCAAGAACTGCCCAGTCAAGTCCTTCCCAAACTCCTGACCCACAAATCATGAACAAAAATCCTCTTTGGTGTTTCTTGCTTCACCTTGCACACAGTGGCAATGAGCTACACCTGGTCTTTCCACCAATAGCAGTGTTTATGGGGCATTAAAGGGGGCTAGCCAATTGCAACCGTGTGAGTCTTGGGGATTCTGATGGCCACAGAGCTCTTCGTGGAAGGACTGAGCTTGCCTGTACTTCCCTGCCCCATTAGTAGGTTGCAGATGCACTGGGAAGGAAGTGGTCTTGGGAGCTGAGGAACTCCAAAGCCCCACTTTAGCTCACCTGGATTTAGCATAACACACAGAGAGCAGATGGGATAGTCTGGAGGCCAGGGCTTCTCAGCCAGTCCAAGTTAAGTTCGGGAGTCATTTGTTATGCAGCAATAGCAGCCAGTGCACATATATTACCTAATTTCATCCTTGTAATGGCCCTGGAGGAAGGTTCTATAGTTACCCCCTTCTATCAGATGAGGAAATAGACCCTCAGTGGAACAGGGGAGCCTGGAGCTACTCCATGAGGTAGGCTGAACCTCAACTCCAGAGCCTATTTTCTACCCGTGGGCCCTGATCCTCGGTGTGTTCATTCATCTTTGCATCCCCAGTACCTGGCATACAGAAAGCACTTGATAAATATGTTAGTTGAATAAACAAATCAACAGATCAAGACCTGAATAAATAAATGAGTCCCTGGGCCTCAGTTTCTCTTTCTGCAAAAGAGACGCTGTCTCCTGCAGTCCCTCCTGCCTCTAGAATCCCATGCTTTTGGGAGCAGTTCTCTTAACGGCGCCACCTTGTCTCAGTGCTGCTCCAGCTGGCTTTCACACATCTTCAGAATCTGACCCCTACTTTAATTCCCTAGATTTCCAGACCCCTGCCCACTTCTCCCCTGCTACAACCCAGAAAACTCTTCTCCCAACAGGTTAAATCCCATTGTCTCTATGAGGCCTACTCATACCCTCTTTATAAACCCTCCCCTAGCCCTGGTCCCAGCCCCAGACCCTTTGACTCCTAGGAAGTTCAGAACCTGTCTGAATACATCTTAAAGACTGAAGCAAAGTTCAAAGAAAGGAATGTTCTGTGAAAAGCCAGGGCCTAGATTGTTTCAACAGCAACGGAGCTCACAAATCTTTCATAGTAGATTGAGCTTTTACATGGATTTCCCAAATTTCTGCCATTTGCATATTACCATGACAATGTTTGCCAAATCTTGAAACCAGCTCTATTGCTTTAATCAGCCTTAAATTAGCTCCATTCCTTTCTTCCTTCCTCTCCTCCTTCTTACTTCCCTTCCTTAGAACTTAGTCTCATTCTAAGCAATGACATCTATGACATCACAGGCCCGAGGTGTCCCTGTGTCTGTGTACCATGTAAAATCATCTCCTTTGTCACCAGTCTAGGGGTACTGCAATTTAGGAAGTACTGGTTTTTAGGATAAGATGTTTGTAAGCCACAGATTAACCTTTTTAAATAACCTTGGCACACATTTTAATTGGTCTGCTAGAGACAGGATGTTTAAATGATTTTATTTTCTTTGTGTTTTTCCATAGCTTTCGTACTTTTATAATAAGCAGTGATTGCTTCTGAAACTAGAAACCATAAATGAATGTTGGAAAATAACTAAGACACCGTCTGCATTTTCCAAACACAGAGAGCTGGGCAAAGAAAAATTGTGGGGTGAGTGCCCAGACATTTGCAAAGCAAATCCAAAAGTTATTTAAGTGGAATAACTGCTAGGTAATGCTTAGCCCAAACCCCACCTCAATCCCTTTTCCTAATTTTTGGAATTAGGGGAAATTTCATCTCTCCTGCTTTTCAGCCCAAGCCAGCTGTCACCGGGTGTGTGGGGAACAGGAAGCAGGATTACAAGATTAGCAGCGAGCTTGCCGTTCCTGCCTGGCTGTTATCACAGCTGACCCTGGAGAGCCCTATTCCCCACTTGTCACTACTTACTGCAACCTGGGGGTTGAGACTACAGCCCCAAATAAATTCCAAACAAGGACAAAACTGGGAGTGTCAGGGAGTTTCCCCGTAAATCAGGTAAATTTACTGAGTACAGACTTGGAATCAACACTCTACGGGCATTTTTCTCATATAATTCGTATAAGAACCTTAGAAAGTGGAGACTATATTTATTTATGCCCATTCTACAGATGAGGATACTGAGATCCTGTGAGGTCAAATCACTTGCCCAAAGTCACATGCTGATAAATGCAGAGCAAAGATTGAGCTCAGGTTTGTTCGACTCCAAAGCCTTCTGTTGGAGCTACTCTGCTTTACTCCCTCTCTTTCCCCAGGGACATCTCCAGAAAACTGGACAGATGACCCTGTCTGGTCAGATGTCTCCCAACCTGGTCAGTGGTTAGTTCAGCTCTGTTTAGTAACACAACTCCTAGCATGCCCACAAAGACACACGTGGCTCTTGGACTGAGAATTTTGATCTAACACGTCAATCACAGAGCACCTACCCTTTTCCTTCCCCCCATCTGCGCAATTCCTACCAAAGAAGGAGACCTGGTTAAGTCCTCAGACAATCTTCAATGACCGGGAGATGGTTAAGGCAGCCTATTCAGACCCAAGTAGAATCACCTGCCTAAATCTTAAAACAGCTGTGTTCTTTGGAGCTTTAGGAGAGACTCCCCAGATCACTGACGATGGAGCTTTCGCACATGTGCACTTCCCCACCTGCCTCTCCTTTCATCTCTGTCATCTGCCCAATCAACTCCCAAAGTGCAGGGCCCTGGCCTGACACAGGAAAGCTGTGAGTGGTCATGGGAAGAGACATACACTGGCCACACAGTCTGTAGCCAGGGGAAGCTTCTTGGGAGAAGGAAGATCGATAAGGAGACCCAGTGATGGTTAGAGGAAGACGAAGGGGAGAGAGTTTGAGGCAGACCAAGTGTGTTCAAAGATAAAGGAAAGAATACAGGTTTGCCACATCTTCTTTAGCATGATTGAGACAAAGAGGGGGACACTGAAAAGGGGCAAAGCTGGGCGGTGGCCAGGCCAAATGGGAAGGTCAAGGTCAAGCAGGTGAAGGAGTCTGGACTTTATGCTGGAGGCACCAGGGGTCCTGAAGTGTTCTCAGCTGCAGAGTGACCATGTCTGATTTGTGTTTTACAAGGATCTCTGTGGTGGCTGCTGGAGAAGTTCTGGAGGAGAACAGGACTGAAGATAAGCCTAAATAAATCAGGAGGCTGTGACTGGCAAGGATGGTGGTGTCTGAGATTAGTAGCCTGGCAGGAAACAGGGGTGAATTCTGAAATATGTTATGAAGCTAATGATCAGTAGGACGTGGTGACTAGTTGAGGTTGAGGAGGTGATTCGAGAAACCTTGGATTATTTATCCCCCCTGCTGTTGACCTTGTGCAAAGGATGGGAGAAGTGAGAGGTGATAACACCCTTCTGTAGCAGGCTTGAACCTTCAGCCCCTACCTGCACAGCCTGGACAGTTACCTGTAGGACTGGGACATGACTTTGTTTGGCAATGGCTAAGCTGCCTTAATGACAAATAACTGTCAGTATGGAATGAAAGTGTGAACCCTGTAGGGACAAAAGCATGATACTCTGAGCCTAGGCCCACAAATAATTGGACCCCTCTCAGCTAAGATGAGATTTTTGTTAACTTTTCCACTGATCATATGACCAAACCAAACTCCAGTTTCAAAATATAAATGACTAAAATCCCCCTAAACATTTTAAATAATAATTTAAGAACTTGGCTATTTTAGCCCCCCAAAGCATCCATGAATCTACAATCATGAAGGAAATCAAGTATGAACACAGGAGTGTGCAGGAGTGTGGTGTATGTGTGCGCACCCGAAGATAATGTCATATTTATTTTTTAAAAGCATGCAAAATTAGATCCGGTGAGCTTGCTATCTAAAAACAATTTCCATGGCATATATTTCTAAACCCAATGTTAAAACTACAAAGCTTCATCCTTTCTCCTTTTCTCTTTCTTAGGTCTCCCGCCTTTCCTTGAATGAGTGTGTCTATTTGCCTGACTCTCCCTTTTCGTGTCTTCCAGGAAGGATAAAGAAAAACCTCCTAAATGACCTCATTTTATTTTGAAACACTAAACCCACCAAAAGGCGGAGGGGGGACTTCTTGGTCAAAGGAATCAAGATGTATTTCTAATTATCTTGCCATATGGTAAGTTATTTTGGAAGCACATCAAGAAGTAGAGAGAATGTTTGACAAAATTGGCAATGCTTGTACAATCCTTTCAAATCAGACCGAATTCCCACTATGTACATTTGCTACAGCCCCTTCTATTCATCATATCAGCAACTATGACCACAGGATATGTAAAAATACCGAGCAATTTTTAGCACCAGCTTTCAATCCCCCAGTGCCCTGGACACCACATGGTGTCAAGTTTGTCTGTATTTCACCCCCAGGAAATCAAGTCATTAACTTCCCTTTCATTTACCAAGAACTGGTGCCAAAAAAAAAAAAAAAAAAAAAAAAAAAAATCCAATGGCTGTGACTTATGGGAAGAAAAAGAGAAAGGGCTTCACTGGAAGGGGAACGTTGTAGCTTTTGTTCCACAGGTGGATAGAGAACATCGAACTTCCTTGTACCTTCTCCCCCTTAGAAGGTTCACTGTCTTGGTTGTCTGATGGTTCAATCACATGTGAGGATTATCAGAAAGTAGAACTGGAGGGAGCTCATCCTCCCCATTTCTCTGTGTCTGGCATTCTATGGGCAGGAAGGCTGGTGGAGGGAGGTGGTAGGTTGCTTCCAGCCCACCTGGAGGGTAGGGGGAGGGAGTTGGGGAATCCACTTTCCTACCTTTGCATTCTTGACATTCTGTGCAGCTCCATGTCATCGCTGCCCCGGAACCCTTTGGCGAAGGGATTATTCTCGATCTTTAATTGCGTGATCTGCAAGGAAGGAGAGCGAGCTGGTTTTCACTTGATTGCTACAAACCCACCTCAGGACATGAGCTAATAATAAGTGTCATGAAAATGCAGCCTCTGGCAACCAAAAGAAGCAAATTAAGTCAGTCACGTCAATGGGACCCACCACTTCATTTGAGCGGAGGCTTTGAAAAATGTCCTAAATCAGATTGTTTATAAAAGGGGGGAAAAAAACCTGGATTTGGTTTGCCCATTAATTGGAGTCATACTCTGCATCATTCCAGCCGGGTTTCTTTTTTTCTTTCTTTTTTTTTTTTTTTTTTTTTTTCATCTTGGCATTTTGTGTTTCAAACACAATCTAGGCCTCAACACTTGGTCCCTCCTCCCGTTTGGAAAGTTGTGCATGTTGACATGGTTGTTACACATCCGGCAGTGGGGTAATTTCCATTTGGAAGGGTTGGCCTGGTCACGTGTTCCTGGAGAAAACATGTTTTGATTATTGCTTTCAAAAACCCTACCATGCCTCATTTCTTACTCATTTTGTAGTTCCATAGATAGGGTTTGCTAGCTCAGGTGGAAAATGATGCATAATAAACACCAACACATATAATAATAACATGTAAGAAAGCTATCACAGAGCTTGAAATCTCTTTAACTTCCCCAACAAGCAAGAGAGAGCTCTATCTTAGAAATCTGTGCTGCAACGTACAAAGCTTAGTAATAGAACAGGGTCTTTTTGAGCATTTTGGTTCCAGGCCCAGAACTTTAATTTAAACCATCAACACATTATATTAGTGTGAATGTACAGTAGCAGACCCAGGTGACAGAATGCATCCATATGGAGTTTGCTAGAAGTATTGTCTAAAAGTTGCATGTGTGAATTGAATTTTCATAGACACCAGGGCAGCATGACTCCAACTGTAGTCATTCAAGCTTTCCCTTCAAAATCACTCATATCAATAGAGCACCTGTATACTGTTTTGCTTAATATTTTCATTTAAATCAAGCCACTTTCTATTTAAATGTATTTCACACAGAAATATCACTTCTCTGTATGACAAATTAGAATCACTTTCTATTCAACAAAAAGAAAAAGGCAAGACTATGGAGACAATAAAAAGATCAGTGGTGGCCCAGGGTTGGAGGAAGGGAGAGATAAACAGGCAGAACACAGAGGATATTTATGGCGTGAAAATACTCTGTATGATCCTATAATGGTAGATACCTGTCATACATTTCTCCAAACTCACAGAATGCACACCAAGAGTGAACCCTAATATAAACTATGGACTCTGGGTAATAATGATGTGTCAATGCAGGTTCACCAACTGTAACAAACGTACCACTCTGGTGGGCGAAGTTGATGGTAGGGGAGTCTGGGCCTATGTGGGGGAGGGGCTTTATGGAAACTCTCTGTACTTTCCACTCAACTTTGCTATAACCCTTAAGGTGGTTTAAAAAATAAAGCTTATAGGGCCGGCCCATGGCTCACTTGGGAGAGTGCGGTGCTGCTAACACCAAGGCCACGGGTTCGGATCCCTACATCGGGATGGCAGGCAAGGGTTAAGATCCCCTTACCGGTCATTTCTTTTTTTTTAAATAAAGCTTATTTTAAACCATTTTTAAAATATGTCTGTGTGTATGTGTACACACACTTCCTCCCTCATTTTTTTTAACTGCGCCCACTCCTGCAGCTTTCAGATTTTGTCTTGATACTTTGGAATGAGTAGAAAAGTCCATAAAATCTTTTAGAAAACAGTCTTTAAAATGTGCACTCCTGAATCCAGTTCTATTTCAAGAGTCTAAAAGTCCATCACCTAATGGGGCTTTCTTTCCCACTCAAGTTTTGTCACAATAAAATCCCACCCAAATAACCATAAACATTTTTTTTTTTTTTTGAGAAATGGACTCACATAAAGTTAAGTTGAAAACAGATCATTTAAAAAGGGATGGCAGGAATCCTCACGAGCCCCACCCCCACTCCAGTCACAGAAGTTGGTCCCTGCAAATATTGAAGACAATGAAAATTCAGAGTCAGGGCTGAATGTGTGTCATGCATGATGTCACTGCTTCACAAAGAACTCAGGACAAAAATTGCCCCAAGAAAAAAAGAAAAGGGTGGGTTTTGTTTTATCAGCAAAAACCTTTTGCTCACATCCATTTCTTGCATCTCAAACAGGTAGATACTACCTGATGGCTGCGCTCATCACCATAGCTCACAAAAATAGTACTGCACAGGATAAGCACAATTTGCTAGATAGACACTTAGGTATGTTGATCTTACTTGTCTTCTTACAGAGACCGAATATAGATGCCAATAGGACATAAGAATTACCCTTGAGAAATGTTAACATACAAGATTATCTGCAGGTGAAAGCATCTGTCTTGTTTTGTATAGATGCACTTACACTATAACCCCATTTACAAAATTCCCTTCCTAACATGCTGCGTGTTAGCTCATAGGTACCCAAACTGATACACCTGGATGTCGGAGTTCTAGCAAAAGGCTCCACTGAAACTAACTTCTATGCACCATACAAACGTCCTCCCTCCAAAATCAGCATAAAACCAGATATCCAGGGGGAGAACTGGGGGTGAGGGAAAACAAGTATAAATACTAGCTTTAACCAGTGAGACAGAGGTTGTAAAAAATTAATGAGAATAATTGTTGTGAATTCTTGCTTTTGAAAAAAGAAAAAAAAAAAAAAAACACCTCATGAGGGCCAAAAATCTTAATTATGTCTCTCTATTAAGGGTTCATTTCCTGGTCCCAACCAGAGAGCTCATACCTCATAAATATAGGCTCCTTACACAATGATTTAAGCAGGAGGAAAATGCCTTTTAATGGCAAACTAAGTTAATATCGAGGAATAGAAATGCTTGTATACACAGCCATTGTTGCAAGAGCAGGGAAATGAAATGCCCATGTGACCTTTTTAACACCTAAATATTTCTAGGGATTGCTCAGGAGCTGCTGACAACTGCAATGAAAACCTTACAAAAACGTGTTTCACAGAATGAACGTTGCTGGGAAGATTCGAGTTTTTAAATATCTTTTTCAAGCTGTCAACCATCTGGGGAAATAACTCCCAAATCCAACTTGGGATCACAGCTGGGCTGAGGAAATATGTCTCGGCATTAGGAGCCCTGTGGTAAACGGGTATGTGAGTACAGCCCAAGAAATGAACTCTGCCATGTACCTACCTCCACCTGGTATCTGTCTCCAAGGGGAGAAAGCCCACTCTGAAGGAGCTGAGCCCTTAGATCAGAAAATTCGTGGCTCAGATTTTCCCAAACTGTCCTGGCAATTTAATCACATGGGTTGCTTTTTCTTTCCCCACTCATGTATTTATCCAAAGCAAAATGCTAGGTAAATAATCCTTGAGTTGACGACATGATCAGGGAATGAACCAACTAAACCACAAAGTCTAACATTTGTAGTTGTTTTTCAACCACAGGAATAAGAACTTATTTAAAATCTCAGTCTTTCAGATTCTAAAATAACAAGGGAATAACACAGAGTTGGCAAAGAGTTTCCCAGAATTTGCATTTTGGGGGAAGTTGCCCTGTTAATAAACTGATCAGTTAAGTAGTCAATCAATGGTCTGATCAATCATTACCAACACTCTGTGCTAACTCTGTGCCAGACCTGTGCTACCTACTTTCCATGGGTTATCTCATTTAATCCTCACAATGACTTTATGAGGTAGTTTCTCTTACTATTCCCATTTTACAGTTGGGGAAACTGAGTTAAGTCATTTATCCAAAGTCCACACCTTAATCCCACACGATGGTGAGTAAGAGTTCAGCTGGCTTCTACCCATGAAGTCAGAAGTCTCAACACCTAGTCCAGGTGGGACAATAAAGAAACTGACTGAACCCACAAATCATATACAATCCTGCTCCACTTATTTAAATCACACATCATATATCCATGCGGGAAATGTTTGCAGGGGCCCTGAACTTGACTAGAAAAGTATACTGCTTTGGACTCGCTCATGACATGGAAAAAAAAAAAAAAAAAAAAAAGGGCCTTTGGTACTCTGCAAGTAAGAAGAGGGAGACAGTGATAGTTGTCTCCCATGAAATCCCTCTTCTGGATGTCTAGGAATCTGTCTGTCTGGCTAAACCTTTATGTATAATTCAACTGGGATCTCTGACACAACCAGTAAGGAAAAAAGCAATTCCTTGTGTGAAACTTTTGTGTGGTCATCAAATACACACATATCCAAATGCATATTTGGAGACACACATTTTTAAACCTGGGAGCATTTAGACACACAACCCCCTAGATTGTTCTCAAAACTCACGTGTACACATCCATGGGGCAGGCACTTATTCATGCACACAGATCATTAAATATATACATTGGGGAAAAATTTCTTTAAATAGAAATTTCTTTAAGTAGAAATTTGGGGGCTGTTGAGTATATTCACAAGTGGTTGCTGTAATAGTTTCACAGGATTATACGTACACCAAACTTATCAAATTGTATGCTCCAAATATTGCAATTCATTGGAAGACAACTGTGCTTCAACGGTGCTATAAACAAAGAGAGAGGAGGGAGAGCATGCTCCCACAGACCTCCCACATCTGTGGGGTCCTTAGAGCATAACCACAAAGAACTTAGGAATTTTCCCCAAAGGAGATGAGCACCATGTTTTGGGGGGAGGGGGGCGGATTACTTTTGTATTTCTACCCGTTCTTGTTCTTCCTGTATAAACTTGGGCATTCTTGGGGGGAAGAAGATCTGACATATTTTTGGACCCTTTGTTAGGTCTAGGAGCCTCTAAGCATATCTATATGTGAAATTGACTTTCTTTATTGATCTTTTTTCCATTTTTTTTTCCTGTGAACATCACCACAAAGTTAAACACAGGATTGCAGTAGCCATCGAGAAAATAGATTTCTAGAAGTCAGACTTAAACTGTTCTGAAACAGTTTTGCATCTTTCAGGACATTTGACCCTTACTGTTTTACTCTTGCTAGATCTTTAAGTGGAGGGAGTTCAGAAAAATCCTCATGCCCCTTTAAAAAGTAACTGTGTTTGGGGGGGAGTAAGTTTTCTTCTGCAGGGAAAGAAGCTGTCCTGGGATCTGGGTTCCCAGACAGACCACGGGGGCTGGAAGGGACCATCCATCATGGCTTGGCCTGGTCACTGACAACCCAAATTTGGGAATTACTCACAGCATTCTGCAGTGGCTCTGGCCTCAGTGGGGGCATTATCTGTCACTCAGCCTGTACTTGAATGACCTTCATAGGGTGACTGGGGGTTTGACCTCCACAGCCCCTACAACTTTTCCCCACCCTTATCTTGCTGGTGGGGACAGAAGTTATGGGGATGGGGAACCACATCCCCACACCCATGTAGATAAGTTGCCCACTCCACCTGTGCTGCCTGATCCCATGTGGACCCCACCTACTTTGCTTTCCCACAGCCATCTAACCCCCAAATAGCTGCTTAATACTCCTAACAATCTACAACCCCACAAGGTCAGGGGCCCCTCTCTCATCCCTATATTTTGCCCTTCCAGATTCCAGATCTTTCCACAACAAGGCTGAGGATACATTAAATCCCCCACCCCCACGTCCCACAATAAGATGAATGTACATGCACACAGGTATCTAAAGAACAGAGGTGAGCCATGACAAGTAAGACAAGCCCTTTCTCCTAAAAAAAATAAAAGATACTCCCCCAACCTATGGTTACGGATGCCCTGCTCCAGTGTCATTGTCAAGCTTTGAAATGCTGCAATCAGGGCCTGGATTTTGAACAGCATGGGGTCTGACGTTTACACTACCCATCTGCACTATCCCAACTCTATACCAAACTAACCACCTTCTCCCAAACAATGCATTTACTGCAGTGTATGCCTCTCCTCACCAAGCTGTGGCTCTGCAGGCTCTTGTCCAAGTCCTGAGAGTGGTGTTCTAGGCTGCTGGTGGCACAGATTGCTCTGTTTTTGTCTTAACAAGGTGTGTGCTGTGTGGGGTCAGTAACTGCTGAAACAATTAGGGAAGCATAGGGAAAATCCAATGTCAAGGCTTCCGGCAGCTTTGCCACCTGCCCCACTGACAGGGAGACACATCTAAAAGGCAGAGTGAAGGAGAGGAGGAGACTGAGCCCAACAGGAAAGGTGGCTGGATAAAGGGTGGCACCTGGCCCCCACGTGAAAATATGGGGCCATGAAATAAAGTGACCTTTCTTCCCAATAAGCATTCATGAGTTCAGTGGAATGCCTTCTTGTGGCATTTGAGTGTGTGGCCATTTATGGTTTGACAAGTTTGTTTCTAACTGGTGTGTGTGCACGTGTGTGAGAGAGAGAGTTGTGCCAAGCCTGTGAATATAGTACAAACAGCTGCAGTCATTAGGCAACAGCTCTGCAGCTCTGTCTCTGCCCTAAAACCCTGGGGTAGAGGTTGGTGCCCGCTATGTGGAGAAATAAAAGCATTAAGTTCTAGTGGGAAACCCCTGAAAATTCATGCAAATGAGCAGGCAGCCCCAGACCCTGGTTCCTGGGTGTTGGGCTTACCTTGTGATTCTGGTAGGATGTTACTGCAATAAATGCAGTCTCAGGAAAGACGTGGGTGCAGAAGGCTGTATTTTTTGAGCCAAATCCATTATTTTCATCTGCTTTCACGATGTGTAATCTGGGCTGGTATTTGTGCATGGAATTCAAAATAATCTAAAAATAATAAAGAAAATGAGAGTGAAAGAAAATCAAAACTCCCTTTGTTCCCAGATAAAACACCCTGCTCCCCAACACCCCCCAAATTAGCCTCATTATATAGGCTCTCAAAAAATAGTCAATTTTTTCTCTTATTTTGAAAAGGGGCCAATGATTTCATTAAAAAGAAACATTTCAAAAATGACAATTTCCAACCAAAAAAGCAAGGGTAATATTCCAGGAATCTACCAAAGGCACACAAGGCAGTAAATCAGAATTCTTAATAAAGTTTGCTTAATAAATTAACTCCCTGTATAGGGCACTTCCCACCCCCAATGGGAGTTGAGCAAGTCTGGAATGAGGAGCCTAGAGCAGCAACAGGGTGGGGGGTGGGGGGAGGGAACAAACAAACAAACAAATTAATCTCCCCCAAATCGCTAAGGGATGCAGGGGGAAAGACCAAACATTTGCAAAACTCGAATAAAAACCACCAGCTCACTGTGCAGCTTTTTTGGAGCGGGTGAACAGACTTCACATCCTGGCACTTTATTTGGAGAACAGGCAAAGTGGAGTCAATTTAAAAAAGAGGATATCGGTGGTGGGGGTGGGGGTGGTCTGGCCTTTAAGGATAGTGAGATGTGGGGAGGAAGCACCCCCCCCCAATCAAAAGATAGGGCTGGTTGCCCTGGAGGTTCCCTTTCTCCAACTTTATCAGCATTTCAGGATCCACAACCAGAACTATCTCCAGTCTTGGCCCCAGACAGAACTGCGGCATCTCTTTGGGGTTTTTTTTTTTTTTTTTTTTGCTTTGTTTTGTTTTGTTTTTAAATATTCTCTTTCTCCTTTTTTCCTGTCTTCTCCATGTTAGGGGTGCTCCCGGGGACAAGTGGGGTCTTAGTGCTGTAGCCGTACTGTTATTATTACAACCATCATTTTTATCATTATCAGGAGGAGGAGGACCTCCAGACTGCACCTTCTTTCGGGAACCAGGACTATGCACAGAAGATGAGCATCTTTACTAATAAAACTGCGTTCGTCGTTCTGACGATGCCTGGGTTTTGATGCTCCCGGGAGGCTGTGAACGCTGGTGTTGACTAGGACGCTCTGACACACACCCACGCACCGAAAGGGCCGATCTCCGCGGGTCACGGTCTCAAACTCTGGCCTGCTTTTTCCCTGGGACCGGACGCTAGAGCGGCGGACGTTGTCACAGAGTCTTTGATTATGTGTATTGATGACCCTGGGGCAGGAACCCTGGACCAACCCTAGAGACCGGCCGGGGTGGGGCGGGGGGGGAGGGGACCCGCGGCCGGGCCGGGGGAGGGGCGCGAAGCTCGCGGCCCCGCTGCTCCCCGACCCCGGGCCGCGCGGCTCTAATCTGCGGCCG